GGGGGGGGGGGGGGGGGGTTGTTGTGAGTAGGTCTATTAAGAAATTGAATTTAGATCGAATTTTATGTGATTTAAATTTAATTATAATTTAAAAACTATCATTTAAATTCAATTCGATCATCTATCTGTTTTGATTTTGTCGGTCCACATTCGAATATGTTAAAAATAAAAATTTGATGGGAAAATTCGATATATATATCTGACTAATAAGATTCATAAAATCCAATTAATTGACAAACCTAATAAAAAGGTAGAAAATAAATAGATTTTTTTAACTGTGTTACTAAAGAGGTTGAGTGGTATAATATTAGTAACTAAATTGCAATCTATATTCCTTTCTTCCTGCTTACTCCTTCCCCTGGCAGACGCGCGCGCACACATATATATATATATATTTATATAATAAAATAAGAGTGTGTTTGAATTTTGTCCCAGTCATATTTTCTCCCTCAAAATTATCATCAATCACTTATCTCACTTATTATTCTTTTGTCAGGTTCAAACGTCAAATCGCATCACTTATTTCTATCATATGTTTAATTATTTATATATTTATTCTCTAAAAATATCACATCATTCATTTTTATCATATATTTAATCATTTAATATGTGATTAATTTATAGTTAATATATTTTGAAAAAAATTAATATAATGGGATCGAGTTTTTGGACGCTCGAATTTTATATTTTATCGTGTCTTCGGGTACGGGTTATGACTAGTATATATATATATGTATATATATGACTAGTTTAGGGACCCACCACTGTGAGAACCCTTACATGTGATGTAAGCCAAGCCAAACAAGGCAAGTATTAAAACTGTTCAAATCTAGTTCTTAAATAGTGGTTCAAAACAAGTTGTCACGAGTTTCAGATGTATCGTTCAAACTGGATTTATTAAAATTTTTATTCAAATTCAAGTTCGGTTAGGTTTGGCTCGTCTGATTAGAAGTATTAAACTCAAAACTCAAATTCAATCTCATGCTTAATATTGTGTTAAACTCGCTTATATATATGCGTGTGTGTTTTTATGTGTTTTAACAAGACAGATGAGTCATTGTTCAAGGTTGACTAACTTATGAATGATCCTTAAAGTCGATCTCGAGAATTGATGAAAAACACGATTCATTTGTAGTCATATTTTTTTATTGTCTGGAGTTGTATGTAATTTCCCGCCATTTCGAGGGTTCTATAGAACCCTAGAATCAAATATTTTATTTTAATGTCACCTTGAAGGAACATTTTAAAGGATGTTAGAAAAGTGAAGATAAACTCATGATAAACAACTAAATATTTGTATAGAAAAATTTAGAGGTATCACGAGTGCTTGACACTTGAAAATATACTAGCCACATATTGCAAGGCCAGTGGCCTATAAAAAAGGGTCCTATTGATTCAATTTTAACACGGACTCCGACTTTGTTAAACACTTGCAAGGACAATGACCTATAAAAAAGGGTCATATTCATTCGATTCTAACCCCAACTCTGATTCCATGCTATGTTGGTTGAATAAATAAATCTCAATCAATTGAACATCAATAAGTCATTCTCATGCCC